GAGAAGACAGGAGGACCAGGAGACCAAAAGGCATGCACAAATGCCACAAAACAAGTAGCCACAACTACACTAATAGGTAGGGGGACTGATGATGATTACATGAAAGACCATGGATGACGGACCGGAACAACAACCGATGGGGACAAATGAGCAGTGATTATTAGTAATAATAGTAACTGTTAGCAATATAATTATTAATAATAATTATCAGTGAATTTAGCAATGGGGAGTCAAAGCAGGACCATGTGCACGAGGCTGTCTAATTTATTGTAATATTTAGTAAAATAAAGGAATGGCGACGTCCTAGATGCTTTATATGGGAGTTAAAGGACATATCCTGATCAAAGGTAACTCCAAGATTCCTAACAGTGGTGATGGGGGGATGACAGTCCCCAGGTCTTGGCTGTATCCTTCCCCTGTCCTCTTGGGAGTGGGCAAGAGAGGGAGCTGTGTAGTGATTGGTGGAGGGGGGAGAGGGCAGATGAGGGAGGCAGTGTTACTGTCGTCTGGGTAAAGAAGGGGGAGACAGGCTGTGGAGGAGGAGGGTGGGGTAGTCCCTTTGTCCCCTCCACTGAACCTACTGGCTTTTTTATGCCAGTAATGCTCCTCGCCCTCCCTTTTGAGCAGTACAAATAAATAAAATATTGTGAAACAGGGTCCGTTCCACAATTATGTAACTCCTGTTGTAGACCCACCAATGTTAACAATCCATGAACTTTATTACACACACACACACACACACTTTTGGATCTCAGTCCAAATGAATGGTGATGGGAGGGTCGTCATGTTTTTGAACATTTGTTTATTATTCAACATTTGTTATTAAAAAGACAATAATTTAACTTTCATTGAAGAAGTTAGAATTTTTTACCTTGACAACTCTGAGACAAGCTGTAACACATTATTTTTTAATAACAGAGCTCTGTGTAACAGGAAGCTGTGATTCCATCCTGTATTGATATCTGTAACAATCAATTAAAAGTAATATTTTAAGGGCAATAAAGAATCATATTTACCATTTTGTGGCAAAAGCTGACTAAATTGCAGCTGTATTTTATTGTGTCAAATTAGCTTTGAAGCATAGTATATTACAGGGGTCTTAAATTAATGAATTTAGGCCTAATTAACCAATTATTGTTTAATTGTTTCACTTTCTTACAAATTAATGTTTTTTAGCAGCATTATCAGTGTGAACAGACTCCTAAAAATCATGGGAAAATCCATAATGAAGCCAAGATAATTCTAGAAAGTGCTCTTAGACCTCCACCAAGGAGGCAGTCCACTGAGTGGATGTGGACCGCTGATGCCAGTTGAAGACCCCTGATGCGCTGTAGCATTTAAAATAGTTTTGATCAGATTGTGGACCACGTTCCTACAAAACATAAAAGGTTCAAGGGAATGCATTTGCAAGCATGCTTATTGATGACACACTGAGTCATGGAGGTAGTGTCTACAGCCTTCAACAGGACCGTATAGGACAGTTATGGTACAGACGCACAGAATTCAGTGAGGATGCATCTAGATGCATTGAGAGGGTGACAAAACTGCGAGTTTGGGCAATGCTTGGTTTTCAGCTGGTCAACAAACTTTTACCATTAAACAGTTTATATGTTTTGGGAAACATTTTAAGCAAAAAAATATGCAATTTAGTGACAGAATCTTGACTCATATTTGATCAGCATTACCAAGTTTAACAGTTTAATCATTGGACAGACTTCAGTGTTGCAAATTGCAAATTCAGATACGGCGTACAGTCAGTCAGCTCGCTGTGGTGTATCCATCATGCATTGCATGGCTTGATCTCCTGTTCTCTATAGACAATGAATACAATCAGTCAACAGATCCAGTGTGTCTGTTACCATTATACGTGACACTCTGAACTGAGAGAGAGGGGAGTGGGCTCTGTAAACTGGGGCAAAATCCGTCCAAAACAAAAACAAATAGGAGACTTGACTTTAGTGCTTAAACATTCTGTGGGCATGTATTAATTGAAGTGTCAATAATAAGCCACCAATAGCTATAGTGCCGCCTCTACTCCACCCCTTATGTATCTAAAGTCAAGTATAGCAACAGACAGTAACATATCAATAAAAGGTTGAATAGTATTTGATTTAATGAAAGGATTTTAAAGCACACTGAAACAGACAAATTAAAAAGACAGGGATCAACTTAAGGTCATTGTCCCAACACTTGGCACAATAGTGTGATTATTTTTGAAAATTAATAGGGTGAAATTTGCTGAGGCAGCTTGTCTGCTCTCCTATTAAAAAAGATAATAGTGGACTGTTGGCAGGTTACTGAGTGACAAAGCGGCGCTGGCCATGGCCTACATATTTCTGTTTGTTTAATAAACGATAAGATCTCTCGTTCCGGCATTAAAGTAGGGCACCTCACCACCACAGGGAGGGAAAAAAGAAAATAAGCATGAGAAAAGGCTTTGTTTGAGATTAATTGGTGTCCACAGTAAAGGAGAGAGAAAACACAGAATAAGAATGAATGACTATGTTTACATGCACACTAATTTTTCCAAATAAGACATAAGAAATAAGTATAATTTCTTCATCGAAGCCATCAACCTGTCTGTTAGATCCAATCCCAACTAGGCTGCTTAAAGAAGTTGTACCCTTAATTGGCACTTCTTTACTGGATACGATTAATCTTTCTTTAT